ATATGGGATCCGAACCCTCGGTGGGAGCGCTACCGCGCTCCCAAGCGCCGCACTCTACCGAGTGCACCACCGGGCCGGCCCTATATTCTTTTTTAGACCCAAGAAACTTCGGTAGAGATTTATTTAATTTAAACAAAGGAAAACTAGAATATATCTAGAAATCTAAAACCATGTGGTAGTTGTAGTTATTTAGGTGGTACCATAGAGTGTATTCTTCTACAACAAGTCCCAGTCTGAAATGCTGCTGTTTTAAAAATAATAATATAAAACAATATATAATAATATTAAAGGTCCCAAAGAGCCTTCTAGAACAATCTATGACATCCTTAGTGAATTCAGCATTTTTACTGCATCCTTTCCCTGCTAAATTGTCTTCACATCTTTCCCATTTTTGTCAGTGGTAGATTCATAGTATCTTTGAGTTGGAAGAATAGGAAAAGGTCACCAAATTAAACCTTCTACCCAATGCTGAAAATTCCATCCAACATCCATAATGACGTAATAATGTTACCCACCTCTGCACCCATCTTTGCACCTTTCCCATCTAGAAGGGAAATTTCTAGCTTCAAAAAGATCTCCTTTTTCAGTTATAATTATTCTTTCTTCCTAGATTCATTAATCTCCTTGCCCCCACCTATGTATCTCCATCCAAAATAAACCAAATCATAACAAAAAATGCCACCACCACCCCAGCACTCTCACATACTTTCAAAGAGACATATTAATTTCCTACTTTGCAGTGTTTTTTGGATTTATCACTTGCTTCCATTCCCACAACGAATACCCATCCATACTGATATGCCTTTACCATTTATCACTCACATGCTTAGTATTTTAGCAGCTATAAAGTTTCCCTGTTCTAATTTATGCAGCATGATACTGCCAGGATAATTTTCCTAAAATTAAAATTTTTCATTATATCCTCCCTATACTGAAGAAACTATAGGGTCTTTCCATTGACTTAATCGAAAAGGCGAACACTGCTTTCTAGCTTTCATAAGGACTTTTATACTCTGGCCCTTCCCACTGAACTCTATCACAAAGAAGCCACTGCTCCTCTCTCACACCCAGTGTTCATTCCTCCTCTGCATCCAACTTTGCCTCCCTAAGTAGACAATATATGAGGGAACTTCAAAAAGTTCACAGAAAAATAAAATTAAAAGATAATACTAATCTTTCCATGAACTTTTTTTTTTGGCAGTTGGCTGGTGTGGGGATCCCAATCCTTGACCTTGGTGTTATCAACACCTCACTCTAACCAACTAAGCTAATTGGCCAGCCCTTCCATGAACTTTCTGAAGTACCCTCATACTTGAGAAAAGATTTTACGCTTCCATTGACTTCTCAATAGCAATTAGCACAATAATGAGCACATAATAAATGCTCATGGAATACCTATTGCCTGGTTTTTTAAAGTGCTTTTAATTTACCTCACTGGATTTATATTTTCAATGTACCATTCAGCATGAAACCATTGCTCATTATTAGTCCCTCTGCCCGGAATGCCCTCCTCTGCCCTTTTCATATGTGCAAAAATCCCACTTATCTTTCAAACCTCAGCTGAAACATCCCTCCTCCTCTAGGAAGTCTTCCCTGATTATCCTGCCAGAATGAATAATGCCCACCTGTTTTCCTATAGCACCTTGCTCATAAATCTATCACATAACTTTTATCAGTTTGTCTTGTAACATTCTACCTAGACCATGAGTTTTTTACAAAGAGGAAAAAATCACCTCATCTCATCCTCACCTTCATGTGCTCCTCCCTCCCGCCCCCCACACTTCCCAAAGTGTCTAATACAGTGCCTTACATGAAATAGGTGATCAATAAAAACTTGTGGAAGTGAATGGACTTTCTTCACCAAATTTTTCCCTAAATGAAAATAACAAATACAACCAAATTAATAAGTAAAGCACCTTAGTAACTATTTACTTCCAGAGGAGTTACTTCATTTAATGGCCTACTGTAATTATTGCAAAGGTTATTAACATTCTTTGATTAGGTATAACCTAAACCTAAAGGTAAGGGAATGGATTACATGATTTTACAAGGTCTTTCATGTGATTGTTAATCTAGTACAGTATCTTGAAATATATCTATTCAAATTGCCCTCCTCTCAAAAGCAATAGGAATAATGTGGTAAATATAAATATATCCTGGGGACTTTCTAGATGATAAAACATATATACATTTTTCAAGTCATATGAGTTCAATAAATCACCCCAAAGTAATATTCAAACTTCAATGTACAGATGGCTAGAGTATTAAGATTTTGGTTGTTTCATTATGATCATTATTTTTTAAAAAACCAAAAGCTGTACGTTTGATAACTTCTAACCCAATAACTGCATTAAAATGTGAGAATCTAATATACAACTTTGCTATTATATGAAAACTTCCAAAAGTGAAGAGGCAGCATGATATACACTCATCTAGGACTCCAATCAGGACTTTGAAAACCTGAAATATAGCCAGAGCTCCATTGTTTACTAGTTGTGTGACCTTGAACAAATCAACCTGAGTCCCAGTTTCCTCATGTAAAATAATAGTATCTGCTTCTCCTACCTGTATGAAGTTACATAAAGATCAAATGAGGCAGCATATAGGAAAGTTGCAAAATGCTACTGTACTTTCACAGCTTTCTTTATATAATGAGTGAGGTTGTCCTGTAATTTTATGGAAAATTTGAGATTAGATTTATCTTTTCCTTGAAATTTGGTAGACTTTTTTCTGTAAAATTGTCTGGGCCTGGTGTTTTCTTGTAAGAAAAATGTCTATTATTCCTTAATTTTATTTAATGATTATAAATTATTCAGCTTTTCTTCCTTTTTCAGACAATTTTGATAAAATATATTTTCTGAGGAATTTCTATATTTCGTTTAAATTTTCAAACTTGTTAGCATAAAGTTATTCCTCATATTTTCATAAATGTTTTTAATATCTACTGTATATGTTTTATTTAATTCTTTTTTTTTTTTTTTGGTGGTTGACGGGTACAGGGATCTGAACCTGTGACCTTGGTGTTACAAGGCTGCACTCTAACCCACTGAGCTAGTCGGCCAGCCCTGATTCTTAAATAATGAAATTATAGGCATTTTAAGTTTTTGCTTTTATGCATTTTAATGCATAATTAAATACAAAATTAAAATAATTTCAATACAACATTTAAAATAATTTTTTGTTCCAATAATATATATATTTTTTGGCAGCTAGCTGGTATGGGGATCTTAACCCTTGACCTTGGTGTTATCAGCACCATGCTCTCCCAAATGAGCTAACTGGCTAACCCTGTTGCAATAATATAACAAATTAAAGTAGTATTTTTTTGTATTACACCGTCCTTTGTGTGCCAGTTTACCTGAGGGTTTGAAGTAACAGTCTATGTATTTTTCATTCTTTTCCATAACCTAACCTTCTAGAAAGAGATTATTCAAAACAAACAAACAAAAAGAACTTTTTTCATAACAAGTCTTCCTTTCTGAAAGATTCAAACGATTAAGATGGCATATGGTGCATGGTTTCTGAAGTGCTACTCTTCTGCCTCCCCCCAACCCCTCACAAATATTTCATCTGTAGATATTTCAGTCAGCCTGTGATTTGGGGGGAAAAAGTCCCATTAGGACCAAATAAGATTATTTGATTATCATATACATAGAAAGGCAAACCCAGGATATGAAGAACAACATAGGAGTCTTTAAAAAAGAAAGAAAAGAGAAAAGATTTTATAGTAGAAGTTTCTGTAAAAAGACTTGATTGGACTTTAAGGGTCTTAAGGGCATTTAAGTACTCCTATAATTATCACAAATATCAAAAACATCTAGGTTTCAGCTGAAATACAAGTAAGACTTGAGAAAATGATCAATCTATATCTTATTTTTAGATTTTATATTTTCATGGATATGTGTCCAAGAATGTAAGTTCACATACTAAAATCCAAATTGGAAATCTGAACCAAGAGACAAATATCTAACATTAAAATAAAAATTTGTTAAAACTGTTATAATGAACTCCTTTTCTTGTGATGTTCTTCTTGCTGTGTTCCTAGTTCACACAAACAGGAAAAGGCTTTGAGCAAACATTGCTGTAGACCCAGAAGTGCACTGGCTTGCTCATCAATGACCTTCTAGTTTCACATACACTGTGCCTACTCCTATAGCTACTTTCCCTAATTACCTTGCTTGATATTGAATTGCTAAGGGCAGGAAAGAAATAATTAAAGTGATTAGCCAAGCCTTAAAAGATCAACTATCTAAAAGAAAAAAAACAGAGATATAACAAATTATCTGTATTATGAAACCTTCAAAGTACTATCACATGTGATCAAAGTAGTACTTAAACACTGAATAACTCAAAGAACAAAGATTCACTACACTTAGTCACATGTATTCTTCAATAACATACCTCAGGAGGTTTGAATTCTTCAATTCCACCTTCCATTTTCTGTTTAAGTGCACTGTTTACTTGCTTAGCATTCTGAACCTTCAACAAAATAATCCCAAATTCGAATCAGTCTATGTAAATTTTTAAGTACTCGATAAAAGAAAAGGATATATACCAAAACCTCTTAAATTTTATTTCAGGAGAATTGATGTTACACTTAGGATTTTATACATCACTCATTCAACTAATACACACATCAACTAATATGTACATCAAACAGACCAACAGACTTTGAATACCTTTGAATATAATAAATCATAGTTTTGAATCTCTCTTAACAATACCTCTTATAACCAAAGACAACTGGTATACACAAGGATTAAATTCCATCAATACTTCTCATCACTATAATGTTCTGACCAAATAATTATTCCAGTAAGAGTGATGATGAATATGGTGGCTAATATTAGGTGTTTATTATATACAAAACATCATTCTCAGTGCTTTGTATGTAATAAATCCCTTAATTTTCACAACCACCCTGTAAAGTAAGTACAATCCGTTCTGCTATAACATCACAGATGTGTTCTTAAAAGTCACTGTACTACACAAAATCTACAATAAAATCTCAGGATTTATAGGGAAAAGAAGGCTGGAACAACAACACTCAAAAATTTCATTAAAAAGGGCCGGCCCGGTGGCGCACTGCTACAGTGCGCCGCTTGGGAAGCGCGGCAGCACTCCCGCCGAGGGTTCGGATCCCACATACAGACCGGCCGCTCACTGGCTGAGCGAGTTGCGGGAGCAACACCAAGGGTTGCGATCCCGTTGCCGGTCCGGTACGGGCGCAACACTGAGGGTTGCGATCCGTTGCCGGTCACAAAAAAAGACAAAAAGGAAAAAAAAAATTTCATTAAAAAAAGGCAGGATCCTAACAAAAATCGAAATACTGTTTTACACATTCTAATTGGTTTAAAAAAATCCATAAATGCTACAATAAAGATGGTACTTTACCTTGAAAAAAGACCTGAAGGTTGCTTGTGGAAGTGGGCATCAAAATGGTTGCAGCTTGTGAATTATTGTGAAGTGGTAGAAGGATTATTTGAAATCAGATGAAAAGTTTTAACATCAGATTTGTGTGGTTCATAACACTCAATGAATTGAAGTAGCTGGTACACATTTGAGGTGTGTTCGTGTGTGCTCAGTTCAACTGGGTGCAGTTTTTTGCAGACAAAAATCATACATAAGCAAACACAAAATTCCCGTTATGCTCAAATTGTTCCCTAGCATATCAATTGCACTGGAACAAATTCATGCTTTCAAAACAAGAGTTATAGGGCCGAGCCCATGGAGCACTCGGGAGAGTGCAGCGCTGGGAGCGCGGCAGCACTCCCGCTGCGGGTTTGGATCCTATATAGGGATGACCCATGCGCTCACAGAGCTCACTGGCTGAGCACGGTGCGGCCGGTCTCAAAAAGGACAAAAAAAACAAAAAAACAAAAAAAAATAACGAGAGTTATAGCAGAACCGACTCTACTTCTATTATAATTATTTTATAGATGAGAAATGTAAGACACAGGCAAGTTAAGAAACTTTTCAAAGGTCACAAATGTAGAAGGTACAACCTGAATTTAAACCATACCAAGTTTTTAAACTATTATTCTACCTGCAATATTGTTAGTCTCCATTCAAAAATTAAGGGTTAAGATTATTTGTTTATATATAAGGTGTTTGTGAATTTTTTTTCACCAGAGATCTTAAAAACACAGCTAAAATACATAAATCCAGGATGGTTCAAGGGCATTTAGTTGGCCATATTAGATAGACATACAGGAGACATACAGAGATAAAACGTAAAGTCTCCATTCTCTAAGCTTTCATAGACTAGTGAAAAGGTAAATAAATGTAAAAGTATGATAAACGCTAAAACACCTAACATACACAGAGAGAGAGAATAAGAATGTAAGTGTGCTCACGTGTGCTGGTGGACGGGTGGTGGTGAAGATTAGGGAAAGTTTTCCAGAGGAGACGATACCTAAACTGAGTTTTAAAGGATTAACAAGAATTAAGCAGGCAGACAAGGCTAGGTTGAAGGAATGCATTCCAAGCAGAATAGGATTTAGAAAGGCAGGAAAGTCCTAAGGCATAGGCAAGAAGTTAGGCTGGGTCCAGACCAAAGAATTTTTATATTTTCTAAAGACCAAAGGAAACCTAAACGATTTTTCAGCAAGAAAGCAATATGACCATATTTGCCTTTTAGAAAGATTCTTCCAGTAATAATGTGGAAAACAGAATGGGATGAAGAGAATGGAAATTTAACAATCCAGGTAAGAAATATTAAGAAAACTTTCATTAAAATAGTAAGAATGAAGGAATGTTGGTACTGGTACACAGAGACAGGTTAAAGAAATCACTTGGAAACAAAATTAAGACCTCTTTGTAAACACTGGATGTTGAAGAATTAGGGGGAGTCAAGGATAACTGGTCATTAGCTTGAGTAACTGAGTGTATGTGGGTGGCACTATTCTCTGAGACAGGGAATGCAGATAGAACAGATAACTAGAGTGGGTGTGGAAGAATTCAGTTTGGACAATGTATATGAGATGGATTTGGATATAAAAGTTGAAATAGCTAGCAGAATTTGTAAACCCATGAGTCAAACCTTTACTGTGTCACACATCAAATGAATAACCAAGGAAGGAGCTTAAAATAAAGTTCCTTTTTAAAAATCAATAAAAATAGTCCATAAGTATAGTAGTAATATTGAGGATGAAGTATAAATACAGGTGACTCAATATATTTTCTTTCTTTATTTTTTGAGTACTTTGAAAATATTACTGGCAAAGTATTCTAGAAATTTTCTAAGAGGAATATTGCGGTTTAGAAGACAGAAGTCTCTAGCAAACAATCACGGTTTGACTAAAGGCTAAGCATTCAGTCAGTGTCACAAAAGTCAAGGAAAAGAAATTCTAAGAAGGAAGAAGTGGTTGACAGTGTCAAACATTACTGAGTAGTTAAGGGAAATAAGAACCAAGGAGGAGGCACTATACCAGGCAACTTGTTCATAATAATTTTAAAATTGCTTTTTCAGTGGAAGAATTGGAATGGGGTATGGGGCAGAAACTAAATTGGAAACGGTCAGAGATAAGTGGTGGTAAGAAAGCAGAGGAAGCTAATGTGACATATTTATTCACAAAGTTCACTAGGGAAGGAAAAGGAAAGAAGAACAGCTTGGGGTGAATATCCAGGATCAAAGGATAGAGAAATCTGAACATGTTTAAGATAAAGAATCTTGGCCCCACACTATACTATTGCAACATTCTTACATTTTATATGATGTGGTACAATATTAACTCTAAGTACACAGAAGTATTTACAATGTGTTGTAATAATTTTCCTGCCTTAGGAAATTTAAGCAATCCAATGCAGTGTCCCTAACAATGTTACTATATAAAGGCATCCAACATACCTGTCACCCTGATTATGTCTATTGGCTAGTTTACGAGCCTGGCGATCCATCAAACTTGTCCTAGAGCGAGTTTTTTTCCAGGAATAGTAATATTTTACAAGGCTTGCAATTGTCTTATCTGGAAGCTTAAAAAAAAAATCGTGTTAATATTGTCAAGTTTAATTTGTGAGTTTACAGCAATAGAGAAAGTACAGCAGAAAGATCAGGGAAATGGGGAGTTAAAGAGATAGGGAAGAAAGCAATTCAAGTAGTTGATCACTGGGTCTATGGCTCAGGGAAACAACAGCACGGCAGACGCAGGTGAGGGGAATGAAAGAATATGGAATTTGAGATTATTTAGCAGTAGTAAGAAAATTAGTAAAATATCAAGTTGAGGTAAAGTAATATTTTAAAAATTTCATTGATGGAAGAGATTAAGGTGATGACAAACGCCAGAATGGGCCATGGTGTTGAGTTTAAGAGGAATGGGAGTCATTATTTGAATGAAGTCACATACCTAGTAAATGCTAAGTTTAAACAAACTCAAATCTACTGTCTCCAATTTCAGTGTTATTTTCACTATTCCACAGTTGCCTATACCTCACAAGCCTTTATCCATCAACACTTTGACTATTTTCTACAATTAGGTAATTTCTTGCCTTATTAAATACAGTATGTATATCAACTTAGCCTCTTCTTAATGATTTTAAGTCATCATTATTATCATATCGAGGAGTATGAGTGCTTCTCTAGTTGAGGATTCTTCCATCTTTTCCCGTAATAACTTCGTATAGCATACATTATACGAAGGGGGGGGGGAAGCATACAACAAAACATATCCTTGATTAATCCACTCAATCAAACGTTTGGTTTCTAGGCCCAGAGGACTACAAATAAATGAAAAAATAAGTTAGACTCTAAACTTTCCTGTTTTGCTTCAAGATGGGATATGTTTTCCCTCAGCAATAAAGGGGAGGGAGGGAGGGAGGGACGGAGGGAAGGAAGGAAGGAAGGGAAGGAAGGAAAGGAAGGAAAGGAAGGAAGGATATATAACTTATTAAATGCAAAGTAAAAATAAGAAAAAGATGGGCAAAATAAGAATTACAACGTGGCAGATTAGATAGCTGATAAAAGAGATAATATCTGATTTTCACTTCAGAGTTGTTGAAAGAGAATTATGCCTCTAACAGTTAAAAAGGATACAGAATTATCTTAACCCTGACATTTTAAAACTCCAAATCTATGAATAAAATAAAATGTGAATTTATGCTTCATAAGAGGTTAGGAAAGTTCTAATAATGATGATTGTGAAGTCTTAAGCAGTATTTCATTATTTGCAATATTCTTAAAGTGTAATATAAAAATACAATGTTATTTTGTGCTTCTGAGAGAAGAACTCATTAAAAACTATATCTATTAGGTTGAAGGTTATATTTTTCACTGTAGATTTAATAATCCAATTCTTTTTTTTTTTTTTTCAAAAGATGATCGGGAAGGGGATCTTAACCCTTGACTTGGTGTTGTCAGCACCACGCTCACCCAGTGAGCTAACCGGCCATCCCTATATGGGATCCGAACCCATGGCCTTAGTGTTATCAGCACCACACTCTCCCGAGTGAGCCACGGGCTGGCCCTAATCCAATTCTTTAGA